ACTACAGACCTATTTGGGAGCATGCTGGTGTGTGTATATGGATAATGCACATGGAGAGGTCAGAGGTCGGGGCTGCATGCTTGTCCCCAGCATTCTCCACTCCGTTGTTTTGTTTGTTTGTTTGCTTGTTTGTTTTGAGACAGTGCTCCTCAGTAGACCTTAGGCTCAACACACACACACACACACACACACACACACACACACACACCATACACACAATAGTGGTAATAATAAGCAAAAACAAAAAGAAATAAATAGAAGGCACTTCACGTGGGAATCCGGATAGATTTATTTCCCCACAAAGAAAATCCTCTGTGATTTTCCAAGTCTCTCTCAGGAAAATCCTGCATACAGAATGGTCACTTCCTCCGCCCACAATGATGCCTGTCTCCGCAGTCTCCGCAGCTTCCGCAGCTTCCCCAGCTTCCGCAGCTTCCCCAGCTTCCCCAAGCTGACTCTTTGGGAATTTCTGCAGTAAAGACAAGTCTTTGGGAATTAATCCAAAGACAAACTTTCAAAAAGACTAAAACTGAAAGGGAAATAAAAACCTATCCCTTTCTGCATCTTGTCTTAAATAATGCTGCCTAATGTGATAGCTCATGTGCCCTGAGTTCTCACTGGAGACACCCCTATGCAAAGAGACATTAATATGCATATCCCCTCATAACAAACCATAGGAATTAAGATCCCCAGACAAGTTACCGAGAGAAAAATTATTAAAATGGAATCTTGGCTTTTGATTTTTATTTATGTGACTGTAAACGTAGATACAGGTCATGAAACTAGGAAAGGGACCACAAGGGGGAAGGGTTTTGAAGACCATAGGGTGGTAGAGTACATGTGACATATAGGCTGAAGGGAGACTGTTGGGGGAAGACACAAGAGGGAGGAGGGAGGTGGGAAGGAGAGTGGAGGAGGAGGAGGCTTAACAAAGCAAGCTATGTCTGGAAATATGGCAAGGAAGCCTGTTTGTTTATTTAATCAGCAATACCAAGTAACAAATTTCTTCCTAGCAGTTTCACACTTCGTTTTTCTTGATCTCTGCCCTGTCCTATTCAACCCCCAATCTTCCAGTTCCCCCTCCCCGTCCTGATTCCTACCCTTCTCTCCCAGCATTCTCCTTGGCCATGTGTGTTATTACCCTCCTCCACTTCTTAAAGACCTTTTCTTTCCTCCCGGCCCTTTCTGGCTCCCTGGCCTCTTACTACACTCACTCCCACACAAGCACACACACACAAAAAAAAAATTAGGCACTAGGAGCCACATATGAGAGAATGCAGCATTTGTATGCTACTTTAAAAAATAGCCTTGCGAACAACAAAATAAGCAGAATTAGAATTATATTTTAAAATGTAAAGCAAAAGAAAGAAAGAAAAGGAAATAAAAGAAAGGAATCAAACGGGACCAGGCAAGAAAGCTCAGTGGACGGCTAACTGGCTGGCGGCGCCGCATGGCAGCCCGAATTAAACCTTCAGAACCGACAGTGGACACAGTGGAAGAAAAGACCTGGCCACTGAGAGCTGTTCTCGGAATTCCACATGCAAGTGACATGGGCGCCCACACACTCAACATGCTCACACATACTAATAGTAACAAATAAAATTTTGAACAAGAAATACAATGAAAGATTGGGAGCCTTACATTTTCTATGCTTTGTACTCAGGCCAAAATGGCAGCTTCCACTCAAACGAAACCATGCATTTGGACGCGAAAATGGTCTTAAACTAAACCGGAGAAGACATTTTTGCTGATGAAAATCATTCCCGAGTCTGGAAGGGAATGAAGCCCTTTGGCTTCCCTCCCTTTCTGCCTCCTATTTCCTGTTTCTAGATTATGTGCAGCGTGCTGGGCTGTGAGGAGACCCTGATGATCCCTGGCAGCTCAAACGCACATATGCCCACACATTGCCCAGCCGAATGTCACCCACTGCTGCTGCTGTGGTCTCACAAATTAGGGAGCCCAAGTGAAAAGACGGCACCAATTGAGGGTTAGAAGGACCCCGCAACCTTTTCCAGCCCTCTGGGCCTTATGGGAAAGTGACCTGGAAAATCAAATGTAGAGAAGTGTCCTAAAACATAGGACTCTCGTTTGAGGCATAGGAGAACCTATTAGCTTGAGAAATTCGTCCAGAAATCTTATTAAAAGAGACAAATCATTCCACATTCTCCTCAGGCTAAAAATATTGGGGGTAATAGACTCTCCCCAGTGCCTTCGGTCCATGCACCCCATGTCAGGATCTCAGCCGAACTCTGCCAAGGCTAAATTCAATGCAGGCAATAAAGGCAATTATTTTTTTTTCTAAATGGGAAGTTCTGATTAATTCCAGTTTCTCTGGCCAGCCACAGACTTATCGGTACCAGTCCCTCATTACTGTGAAGGTTGCAAGGCAGAAGAGCCAGTGGCAAAGAGAAATGAAGTACAGATTGTGGATTTGTCATTACTACACAGCACAGCAGCAGCAGGCTGTCCAGCTGCAGAGGCCCCTATGACCAGCTCTCCTCCTCCAACCCTCATATTCTCATTTCCTAGCTCGGTATCCTTGATTAACCCTTGATGGAGAGGCTGGGCAGGCCGAGGACCAAGGCCTGATGAAACTTTATCTTGCATGTCTTTGTTGCTTGAGAGAAATGACAAGAAGGTACATTCTTCAGATGTGAATGCAGAGTGTCCCCCCTCGACTTATAAAGAGGACATTTAACTTGAGAATTCTTGACTTTGTAATGTTATATGATGTATGTAATACAATGGATGTAATGTCTGTAAATGGTATGCATTCTACAGAAGCTGTATAAATTTTGATTTGGGTCATATCCTCAGTCTTACTGAGGATATGCAATACTCTCTGGTGATGCCTGGGCGATGACAGTAAGCTGGAGATCCCAGACACCCAGAATCCTGCAGAAAAATAACTAGTCCTTTACAGTGTAATTACTTCATTGTAAAGCTGCGGTAGTCTGTAGGTTTTGTGTGCCAAATACAATTTTTGCAGCTCTGGGGATTGAACATAGAGCCTCCTGCACATAAGGCAAGTGCTCTACATCCACTGCTCTAAATTCATTTTCAAATTTATGATGTCACCAACCAATGATGTATTTATGGGAATGCAAACCCATCATAAGCCAAGGAATATGTGAATGATAGTAATCATACTGGCAATAACTATACAAGAATTGAATTATAAATGCAATAATGTCCTGAAATATCAAGTAAGTATTCATTTCATGGCTGGCACAGTACTAAATGATTTATTCTCATGAATTATCTCCTTTATCCCCCTAACAACCCTAACAGAGAAAGAGTTGGCAAAGACTGGCATAAACAGCTAGACAGAAAATAGCGTAGGTCTCCGTCGAAGCTGTTCAGTTCTGCAGTTGCAGCACTGGGTGGGAGCAGCCATAGACAGTTACATGAACGAGTTTACATGTAAGTGTCCATTAAACTTTATTTATAAAACCATTTTGTATGGTTATTAAGCCATGGTCGGCCAATCACAGCTAAAGTTAAATGATGTACCCTATGAGAGAACTTCAGATTTCCACTGGGAGGAAAGCAGTACTTATTTCCCTTTCGAATACCCTACCTCCCATTCTTTCTTTATCATTCTAGTTAGTTTGAAGGGAAGGGAGAATAAAAAGCATCATGCCATGCGACTACCCAGGATGAACTGACAGTTTACTGCCATCAACAAAAGAGAGAGAAATTCTTCTCTCCCAGGAAAACCCTGCCTCAGGGAAGGCCACCCCACATTCATGGGTCACTTCTCCCATTATCTACAACCTGGTGTGGGCCTTGGCTGATTTCATCCTGGTAGACACTCAATGCAGAACTGCTGCTAGGAACTTTAGTGAGTGTTATGAGCATTAACTATGCCTTCTTAGCAAATCCCAGGTGACATTTCTATCGTATGACCTCTGTCCAGGGCCTCTGTCTGAGCCCCCAAAATCCTGTGACCCCAATTGTCATCCTCCTGTGTGTGTTCCAAATCTAAGACAGTGGTTCTAGGCAGGGTCCACCTCAATGTTCCTCAGTGATCCTCTGAAATTTGAAGGAACAGCCCTGCCACAGACACCCAGACTAAAGTCCCCGACAAACGAATAGACACAAAGAAATGAGGTATCCATCCTCCTTGATGATACTCATAACTAAAGACCAACTGTAGTCTAAGACCAGGGTTCCTCCATCTCTCCAGTACTGCATTGGATTGACAGCATTATCAAGAAGGATTCTAGATATTGATGCATGTCTAGCTGCATATTAGCCTGTGCTCAAAGCTGTCCCCATAGCTGTGATGTTTAAGACTGGCCTCAGACACTGGGAGAGGGGGACAAATGACCTGCAGCTGAGAGACAGTGTCTTAGAGTGAGGAGTGACCATGGCTATGGGCTCTAAGCTATGTGTGTAGTTTTCAAATCCAGAAATGATGAAAGACAGTCAGCAAGCTCTCTTACTACCAGGAAAATGTTCTTATGGTACAAGGGAGACGTGCTTATCCTCAATTTACACATGAGAGCAGAGGTCTGGGTGACAAAACTTATATGCATTAGAGCCTGGATTTGGAGCCAAGACTGTCAGGTGCCAAAATCTATACTTTGTAAAACAGTTAGTCTAAATATGACTGGGAACAGTCACTGTAGACTTCTCTGAAATGGGAAACAGTTGCCTCAATTATGGCAAAATGAAAACCAGATTGTGCCTGCCCTTCACTTGCAGGTCCTAAAATCCTGACAACAACATTCACAGGTAGATGCTATTCTCCCCATTTCATGGGTGAGAAGAACGAGGTCCAGAAAATTAAGAAATGGTTTGAAGTCAGCATAGCAAATATTTTTAAGCCCACCCCTTTGGTACCTCAACAGGAAAGCTATGTGTAGTTTGCTTCATTAAGACTGGACCTTTCCAGACCTCTGTCCTGCTCACAACAAGAATGACTCAGCAATAAATGGCATTTAATGCCCCCTTTCTTTGTCCTTGACCTTCTGTGACCTCTCTTTCTGCTGCAGCTCTGTATGCAGTACTGGCCTGAGAAGACCTCTGGGTGTTATGGTCCCATCCAGGTGGAGTTTGTCTCTGCAGACATTGATGAGGACATCATCCATAGAATCTTCCGAATCTGTAACATGGCTCGGGTGAGTGCAGAGCCACAGGGGCTCACCACAGAGCTGCCATGGCTCACTGCTCCCCTTCTTTGCAGACCAGATGGAGGCTGCTGGGAGAGGATTCCACTGAACCAGCCAAGAGTCTGTGTTACTCTCTCCTGACAAGCTCTTCCTTGGGAAAGTGATGTCTTTGCTGATTCCGGCTCCAGAGCCAGCAATGGCTCCAGCACAGATAGATGCACAGAGACATCCAGCCTGCCAGCTGCCTGTTTCCTGACACACTAGCAGCCATGTAGACAAAACTTCCTAGACATTAGCTTTTTCCCACCCTGGCACACAACACTGGTACCCTCCAGTTGGGTCTTATGAGCTTTGGACCAGGTTCTACAAACATTGACATGGAAAAATATTTAGTTGCTTTCAAAAGGGTAGTTATTGGTTGAATACTGTAGGAGAGGGCACAAAAAGAACCCATGAAACGATGGCTTTCGATTGCTCTCTAATGAGAATCTAGGGAGATGGAACCGTAGTCTCTGCCCTCAGAGTTTACTATCAAGTATAAACATGAGCTAAACTGTAACAAATGAGCTTCAGAGAGAAAGAATTCTAGTTGGTGGAACAAAGAATGCTATTCCTAAGGAAAGCAGCTTTTCTTTGATCACCTCCCCCTGAGGGGGGAACAGCCTGACCAGGCCACAGAGGAAGACAATGCAGCCAGTCCTGATGAGACCTGATAGACTAGGATCAGATGGAACTGGAGGAGGACCTCCCCTATCAGCGGACTGGAGGAAGGGCATGGGAGGAGATAATGGAGGGACAGTGAGATTGGGATGGGATGAAGGAGGGGGCTCTAGTTGAGATACAAGGTGAATAAACTGTAATTAACAAAATAAATCAATCAATTTTTAAAAAGCAGCATCTGAACTGAATTTGAAGACTGACAGGAGTTTTCACGGTACAGAGAAAGTTAAGCGGTGTGCACAGAGGTGTGACATTAGGTAGAAGGACAGTCTGTCCGCGATGGTACAGCTGAGGCCCCACTCAGTCTGACTTCTACCCTAGCACAGCCCTCCCAAGTCTGAAAGACTTGTATCCTCAGGTATGCCCAGCAGAACAGCCCTAACCAGTGCTCTGCTCTCAGCCACAGGATGGTTATCGCATTGTCCAGCACCTCCAGTACATTGGCTGGCCTGCATACCGGGACACGCCCCCATCTAAGCGCTCGCTGCTCAAAGTGGTCCGACGCCTGGAGAAGTGGCAGGAGCAGTATGATGGGAGAGAGGGCCGCACTGTGGTCCACTGCCTGTGAGTACCGCACGGCTGGAGGGGCAGCTTGCAGGGCTTTTGAAGTTGTTGCTGGCTGCATAGCCAGTCCAAGGCATATCCAGGAGTTAGGACCTTTTAATGAACTGAGGTGCCAAGTTTTTCTAAACTGTTGTTTATGGCAGACTGCTGAAGCAGAACATAGTAGGCAGACAACTTTCCAGTGTGCCCAGCACGGAAGTGAGTTCCACTCTCCAAAAGAAGGTATGAGTATCATCCTACTTGACATAAGAAAGCTTGGGATAAAGTGGATCCCACTGACCAGAATTATTTCCTGATGGAGAAGAAAAACGACAGCATTGCATTAGCTTAGTTTAAGCCAGGCATTTAAAGTGGATCATTTCATCCCATCCCTGAGGCAGATACTCTGATTTTGCAGTAAGCAAACTGAAAGCTTAGATGGGTAAAGGAACAGAGCTAGCTGCCAAAGGGACTCAGTTTGAATCCACCAGCCTGTGAGCTGATGTGCTGTCTGCTGTCCCACACTGTCTCTAAGAAGAGGGAGGGTGGGGAGGAGCATTCAGGATGAGGACCTCGAGCAGGGCGGCGAGGACTTCTTGGATTCATACATTGTATCAGCTCCCTGGGATATTTCTGAGCTTGTACTTAACAGACACAGGGACAGAGCATGAGCGGCAGACACTGCTGCGGCAGGTGGCACTGCAGGGTCCTGGAGTCTGTGTTTACCTGTGGGTACATTGAGCCCAAAACCAGTTACAGGGATAATTTTTGCTCCCTGTCTCAGGACGGGCGTGGCAAAAATAGATATATATATATAGAGAGAGAGAGAGAGATACTTAATTATGTGTCCCTTGGTTTCCCCATATGTCCATTGTATGTGTTGATGTAGATCATGTTTAGACCCTGTGGTCTCAAACATAAAGCATTTAGAAAAGAATACTGCCAACAGAGATTTAAGAAGACCATAGCAGAAAATATGCAAACGTACGTAGGATTCCTTAAGAGCAAATATCACAGACTTTACCATGAAGAAGGGTTCTATGAAGAGTTTAGACTCAGAAAATCTGCATCCTTAAGAGATTTACATGGGATGTTAGATCTACAACTGTCAATTTTTTTAATTTATATTAATTTTTTTATTTTTAAATAATTCTATACATTCACTTGTATCCCAGCTGTAGCCCACTCCCTCTTTCCCTCCCAAACCTCCCTTCCCTCCCTCATCTCCTCCCTGCCCCCTTCCAAGTCCACTGAGAGGGGAGGTCCTCCTCTCCTTCCTTCTGGCCCTAGCTTATCAGGTATCTTCAAAATGGTTGCAATGTCCTTATCTGTGGCCTGGCAAGGCTGTTCCTCCCTCAGGGGGGAGGGGAAGCTCATGAGTTCATGTCAGAAACAATTCCTGTCCCCCTTACTAGGGAACTCACTTGGATACTGAGCTACCACGGGCTATGTCTGAGCAGGGGTTGTAGGTCATATCCATGCATGGTCCTTGGTTGGATAAACAGTCTCATAGAAGACCCCTGTGCTCAGATACATTTGGACCTTGTGGGGCTCCCTGCCGCCTCTAGGATATACTAATTCCTCCTTCCTTCATATGAGTCCCTATACTTTGCCGAAGGCTTGGTTATGGGTCTCAGCATCTGCTTTGATACACTGCTAGGTAGAGTACAACTGTCAATTTTTGTAGAGGGTCATTGTGGGGTGACGTAACTGAGAGTTCATTCCTCTTTAAAAATACTGTATTCCAAAAAAACTATGAACCGAACTCTCTTCTTTTTGTCAGAATAATTCTTTCTGGAGCGAACAGAGGCCATTAATTAACTTTCACTGACCTCAGGATTGACTTCCCTTTCCCAAAGCCACTAATTGTTCACTTTCTTTCAGATTGGTGCTTCACACATGTCAGGAGGGTTGGGGCTTAGCGCAGGTTAAATACACATGTGCAAACTCAGGGCTGAAAAGCTCCCACCTATAGAAACTTCTCTCTAAAGATACAGATATACATGAACTCTAGGAAGATACCATGTGCCATGCCTTCTCAGGGCAATGGGAGGTATCAGACATGCCAAGCCACCTCTAACTATACCACAGAAACTAGTGACTACTTTCCAACCCAGCCTCCCTCTAGTTCCTTCCCACACGTTAGATGCCCCCTCATCAGCATGGGACAATGCCCATTCCTCGGGACTTCATAAGGCCCTGAGATGATGCATCCTCTCACTTCATCATTGTGGTCCGTGTGTTCTCATTTCAAAAGATACTAAACCCTCCTTCCTGGGAAGGCTTCCTACTCTTCAGTGTTTTCATTTCCTAGCCTGTGAGGACAGGGATTATTGGTTTGTTTGGTTGGGTTTTTTGTTTGTTTTCATCCATGTCTCACCTACCCTAGGTAACCAGCACAAGTGTATCATTCTACCAAGAGGGACCTGGGCATCCTTGGGGACCCCAGGCATCATGACAGTCACTGAAATACAGGCACCCACCAGTTAAGGGAGGATAATTTCTATACTTAAGACATCTGGTTGTTAGGTTTCCTGTAGGTGAGACATCTGGGAGATTGACTGAGTGCCTTAGTTTCTGCCCAGATGTTCTTTAGACACAGACCATTACATGAAATCATTAGTTTCCTTTGGCAGCATGCCCAGGAGTTCAGAATCAGGTAGGTTCCTGAAGGGGCTTGTTTCCATGAAGATAATTTATGGAGCTTCAGAAAGAAGGAACAATTGAGGAATGGCCATTCCAAGAACATACAGTCCTTATACCTAAGACCAATAGGATCCTATTTAAACAAGATTTAAAAGAGTAGCCATGGAATTGGCCTGGTAGTTCAGAAGTACTGAGCTATGCCCCAGGACCACAGGCCAAAGTCAGGACTAGCTAGCCCAAGGCTCATTAAGTATTGTTATCTTTATTAGAATATAGGAAGAAATAGTAATAAAAGCACCTAGTAACTTCAAATTTTCACTGGATGTCTGGTAGATCTAGAGTGTCCTTTTGGGTATGGATGTAGGTTCCACATATACAAAAACTTAATACCACCCTACCCTGAGAATGTAGATCAGTGTGCCTGGAATAAAATGCCCATAGAGCCAAAGGATCATCAGTGTAACTAAACCCCCAAAGGTCATATAGTTTAACCTCTTTTTTAGATAAATGGGAAACTCAGAACCCAGACCAAGAAATGCTTTCCCCAAGGTCAAAGAAGATTCACAGCCCCAGTGGGATTTAAACCAAAACCCATGGCTCAGACTAAAGTGTTCATGGTTGCCTGACCACACATCTGCTAGAACAGCTACCCCTTGCTCCCACAATGTAGCTTTAGGATCAATATGTGTTTGAGTAGGGGTGCTGGGAATTGGGCTCACCTGCTCACTCTTTGTTTAGAAATGGGGGAGGCCGCAGCGGAACCTTCTGTGCTATCTGCAGTGTGTGTGAGATGATCCAGCAGCAGAACATCATTGATGTGTTCCACATTGTGAAAACCCTACGCAACAACAAATCCAACATGGTGGAGACACTGGTGAGCATCCAAGAACTGTTACCCAACAGTCAAAGTCCTCATGTTCCCTCGACCTGAAAAAAGTGACCGTGAATAGAACACACCTTCAGCAACTGGGTCTTATTTGAGTACCTGTAGCCTATGTTACTTGCTCATAATTGCCCCTTTTCCTGTTTCTTTCCAACCTTACCAATTTCTCTTTCCTGTAGGGAAATCTAAATATTAATCCCAGTCTACCTTCTTTGTTTTACTTTCTGCCTGCTCCCTAAGAAAATGTCACTAATTCAGACTCCAAGGAAGGATTCTGGAATAGCAGTTTGTGAACTGTTTTCAATTCAGCCCTAACCTATTCTAAGTCACTCATACAAATATTTCACAAGATAAAGCAGGATGCTTTGGAGAAAGGGTAGTGAAGCCAGTGGAAAGGCAGAGCCCAGGCATGACCTCGTAGACAGAACTTGACTCTAAGGGTTTTTAAACCTGTCCAAAGTGTGATGAGACGGAACGTGGTCCACAGGCTGGTAACAGTGGCATCACCTCAGAGTTTGTGAGGAATGCATAATCTTGAGCTCCATCCCAAACTGGCTGAGTCTGAATCTTCATTTGCAACACATACCCCTGCATGTTCTTCATGAAGGTTATAGTTTAAGAAGCCTGGGTTGCAATGTAGCTACTGAAAGGGAGTGATCTGAGTTGGGAATTCTGGGAAGTGTGGGTAGAAGTAGGCATCAGTCAGGATGTTGCAGGATGTTCAGACATGGGCTGTGGATAATTTTCACTTGATTTTTAGTGTATGTATAGATAAAGTTACCTCAAAAATCTACATCTCTAATCTAATGCATTGTTTTATTCTCTCTCTCTCTCACCTCCATCTCTCTCTTTCTCCTCCTCTCAGGAACAGTATAAATTTGTATATGAGGTGGCACTGGAATATTTAACCTCCTTTTAGCCCAGTTGGATGGGGAACCTGCCAGAGTCCAGAGGCTGCTGTAGCTGCCCCTGTTTTTCTGTGACTGACAATGACTGGTCTCAGGAGCTTGGAGGTAGCACACCTGCCCAACACCAAGGAGAAGACTGGTGGTTCCATGCTCTGTAGTGGGCTCTGCAGGCTTCTGGAGGCTCTTCTGTACCTGGAAGATGCTGTTATGATGAAGACTAGCTTCCCTTCTACACCTGAAAGCATCAGGCCAGCAGAAGTCTACCCACAAGCGAGGCCCTGGACTTTTGATCCCCAGACCTCTTGTTTTTATTTTTATTTTTTCTTAGTTTGTTACTCTCATGGCAAGCTGACTGCGCAGGTGCTGGGATATGGGGAGCTGGCCAGCCCTTCTCTCACCATCCTTAGGAGTACTGGGGGTGTAAGTTCTTCTCCATGCTATCTTGCAAAAGATTGTAGTTTGAGGGATCACTGGGTTATTGGTTCCTACATCTTTTATGGGGGCCTCTAACATGAGACACCTGCCAGACTGGATCAATGTGACTTGTGGATGCCCCCTAGACCACAGGAAGGGGCCTCTTCATCTTACACATAGCCTTGCTGGGTTCACTCACTACTGCCAAATCCAGCCAGGCCTTGACCTTCTGTAATCTCCCGGCCAACCAGCTGTATCCACATCACACTTCAGCAAATGTTTCCTTTGCTTTCTCATAGTTTGTAGCAGAAGGAAGGCTCACAGGAAATTACAGTACCTTTTATCTTTGTAGAAGGAGCTACTTTCCTGGGGCAAGGTTCTTACTGGCCTGTATAGCATAACCCTATGCTCCCTAGGTGGCACTTTCTATTGGAAAGACAAACAAAAAAAGCTTTGATTATTTTCCCAAGTATGTGTGGAAAAAAAAGTGGCAATGAGAGCGTAAAATTTTGAATTTTCTTATGTCAAAAAAAAAAAAAAAAAGGAAAGAAAAAGATAGAATGGGAGTTTGAATGTATGGCTGTATGATCAATCTTTTAGGTTCATTATATTTCCTGGCCATCATAGGATAGCACAGCTAGCCCTGGGATTGGTCTCTGGTTTGGGGAGGAAAATACAGCAACCATGTTATAATTTGTCTCTCTAGATTTGAACTCTTTCCTAAAGAAATCCAGCTGCCATTTTGAAATTGGCTACTGCAGCCCCAACTTGGTTTATATAATACAATAAGCAGGTTTAGGCCTAGGGCTCTGAGTCTTGCTCAAAGCATGAATAAATTAAGGAAAAGGAGAAAACATTTGTGAAGCATTTCCTGCAAGCCAAATGCCATGCCTACCCTCTTCCACCTGACATCGCAGATCCTCTGCAGCACCCCTACTGAGTGCTTGCATTGTCTCCATTTTGTAATTGAAGACACCCAAGCACCCTCCAGTGATAGAATTCTGGGTTCAAAAAGGCAGGTAATGACAATGCAACCTCCCTGCTATTTTCCTCATGCTTTCTCAGCCAAGCAATTATTTTTATGGAAGAAAAATAAGGCTAGAAACTTCTGAGCAAAGAACTCCATGAGTATAAATTTAATTCTTTCTTTCTGATACCAGTTCTTCTTGGTAGCCCAAACTTTCAGATATATTTTATTAACTCATTCCCAGTTCCCCAGAAAAGCTGGTCTTATCTAATTTCATCATTGCTAAAAACAATTCTCATGATCCTTCAGGCTACAAGGGAGCCAGCTTGGGAAGCTCTGTAGCCTGAGCTGAGCCACAATATTTGACAGCCTTAATAGCCAGGGGTTTAGGAAGGTCCATCTTGCAGACTGATCTAGTCACAGATTATGGAGGACACAAAATCCAATAAGGTATACATCTTGCCCTTCAGGCTCACTGTATTCTAGGGAAGCTGAGCTACATTGTAACAGTAGAACATACAAGCAATCAATGAGCCTAGACATGAGAGTGACTCACTCTGCCTAGAGCTTCCTAGGCAGCATCCATTCCAGCTGGGTCTCAAAGACAGAAAAGAAGAAAAAAGAAAGTCAAGCCAAGGGGGTCAACCTGCACAATGGTAAGGAAAAATGAGGTATCAGGAGGGACAGATGGTGGGAGGTCAGCCCAGCTAGAATGTAGCAGAACAGGGATAATGGCAGGAAGGTAGCCAGAACCAAGGTAAAAAATGTAAAGGGCACAGCCATTGACCTGCAGGCAACAAGAAGTTGGCAGAGTTTAATAGTAATGTGCTCAGCCTAGTTTTGGAGAAGACTCTCTCTGGATCAGCAGGTCAGCCTCTTTTCCTTTCATCAGACACTGTGAAAACATCCCTCTCAGTGTGTGCTTTTGATATGTTGTGTGTGTGTGTGTGTGTGTGTGTGTGTGTGTGTGTGTGTTTGCGTTCATTATTTTGTTGCTGGAACAAAATGCAGAGTAGATCATGAGACTCAGCTTTTATGTAAAACCCAGGGTCTCTGTTCTACAATGGAGCAGGTCAAAAACCTTGGCCCCTAAGCCTATGAGGACAGGATATGAAAGGAATCCAGGAAAACGGCCCAGGAATTGTCTAGAAGTCCAAGAACACCAAAGTTGATCAAGAAAGGCTGTCACTTTGGAGGTTCAGAAGGAACAACTCAAAGAAAGCAAGCAAAAGAATTCTGTGAGTTACTATTCTCCTTTGATGAGCCTCTTCCCAGGTATATTTGAACATATCCCCAGGCCTCAGCCCCCACTGTTCCTTCTGAATTCCTATGGCTCTAGTCTCCTGAATGGACTTTCCTATAGCCTGCAGGAGTCTGTAGCATAACCAATAAGCATGTTGCGTGCTATTTCTTTAGATCTTGGCCAGTTCCAACAGAGAGAAGGTAGAGGGAGAACTGTTTAATACAAATCCTAGGATTCATTCTGTTAAGGAAGGAGTGAAAGAGCTGACAGACAAGAATGACAGTGGTCTTTATCATTATAAATGGTGGGAATTTAAGGAGTAACACCAGGGGTGGAGGGGAGAAATGTGAAAATTCAGGCCAAGGGCTGACCCATCCCTTCATTTTCTCACACCCCAACCATCCTTAAAGAAAGTGGTCTTAAACCAGTGCTCACAAAAAGGAAGTGAGGTACAAGTATAGAAATGACATTCTTCAGATTCCTGTGGCGGGCATGCAGAAGACCTTGGATGAGATGGAAAATGGTACTAAAAATATCAGACAATATTTTCCCCAAGAAATCTCCCCAGAAAATCTGCCCTCCAGGAGTCTCTTCTCACCCAACTCTACCTACAGGGTGGGCTCATTTTGACATGAGCAAAGGAAGGGTGCCAAAGTGAGTCCTCACTTAGCTAAGATCTTCCTATTGGTTTCCAGTGGAATCCAAATGAAGAAGGTGCAAGGTATAAGTGAGATTCTGTGAACCGTCCCCATTTTTGTGTGCTTACAGCCTTGATGGCTTCAGGATGCTATCTCAACCTCGTGTCCTTTTACCCCTCCTGATATGATTATCATGGATGAGGTAGGGGCCTGTCAGCTTCTAGACTTGCATGGCAGAGTGGGCCCCCTTCATAGGAATGGAAGAGGCTGCTTTTTTCAGGTGTTGACTCTCAGTGTGGGTCTGCGCAGTCAATGACCAGCCAGATGTCACCTACTCCATGGAACCTGCAGGCTTTGCGCTGTGGACTATAAAACATTAGCTTGCTCTTCCAACACTCATGAAGTGTCAGAGATTATGGCCATCACCACTTTACTGAAGAGTAAACAGATACAGCAGAGGAGAACTCACTTGCCCACATAAGCAAACACGACCTGGTTTCTGGCCACATAAACAATATTCTTCCACCACAGTAGCTGAGATTTTCCCACATGATTACTCCTAGCAACACAGGCAAGAGTGGAACTAATGATTCAGTAGATATTGGTAAAGCCCAATGCAGATAATGGTAAGCCTCAAATTCCCCTAGCGTTTCATGTTTTTCATTCATGATGTATTTGAATCCCATTCACTAGTTTATTCTTAGTAGTTTAAATATGACTATATAAATATATTTTAAATCTGTCCTTTATCTCATGCATGTCTCTTAGGAAATGATTTCTCTGTCTAAGACATAGTGCCTGGCCATGCTCCTTCCTCCTGAGGTCAATTCTAAATTCAAGTTCACACCAACTTATACTCTTCTGGGCACATCCGTTGCTCTGGAGGAATCCTGGCATACTGTTCCTGAGATTCACCTAAGGTCTCTTCATCTTATAGAGGGTTCTGCAAGGTACCCATTGACAGACTAGAATAATGAGGACATAGTTTCATGGCATGAGCTCACAAAACCCTAAAGCCAGATGTGTTCTTACTTAGAAGATCCTTGAATGTTGAGCAGCGTCTCTTGTCTCTGTAGAGTCCTATTGCTTCTGATGTGGGCAAATCTTAGGACACACTTAATATGAACATGAACACCCTCTACTTAAACATAGCTCTACACAGTCCTTGGGTCCCTATGTTATTTAGCACTCCAGACAGGTGTCATTAGGAAGTACAGATTACTATGACATGGCACACCATGGGAAGTAGAAGAGCTTGCTCTTTGGTTTGAACTCCAACTTTACCATTTCTGGACTGTAGACTATCAGGCTGAATAATACATAGAAAAGGGAATACACATATACACACACACACACATATACAATCTTCAGCTGTGTTAAAAGGGGTTAACCTGGAAGGCTAGGGCAGGAAAACAGGAATGCAAATTGAAATTCAGTGTCTACTCAGAAGCAAGGATGCTTATGGGCTGTTGGGCCAAGTGATAAATGACATGGGGAAAGAATAAAGAAATCCACACTTCATTAGCCTGTAGCTTGCCTGCTACAGGCTTCCTTCAGCATCAAGCTAAAGCAAGTTCAACACTGTGGAAGGTATCTCTAGATCCAAGGCTAAACATGAACAGGATACTGATCCTATGCCACATGATCAACGAATTATACTGAACCAAGATCCCTAAGAATGAGTCACTAACTCAAGCTAAAAGACACGTCAAAAGATAAAACAGAGATAGCAATGTCATCTCTAAGCCCTGACTTGCCTTTCTTCCCCATTGAAAAATCCATGTATACAGCTGTGTATGGGTTCCCCATATGAGGTTGTTCCTAGATACATATGAAAAATTATGAGATGCAGAGGCTTCCTTTACTGAACATTGGGTCACCTTTGAAATTCTATCATTTCTGAATGAGAGAGAGAGAAAGAATGTGTGTGTGTCAGTGGGGAGAATGAGAATAGTTCTGAATCGAGTTTTCTCTGGCACATTTCAGAGTCATGGAGCTGATATCTTCATGCACAGCACAAATGTCTGTGTTGTATCTATATATGAATAGGCTCTTTCAGTTTCTTGGTGACCACAGATAGACTTTTGCATGACAGTGGCTCTATAACTGTGTTGAGGAGACCAAGAACCATCTCTTGCATATCTCCTGCCAACTTCTGCAAGAGGTGGAAAAGCTAACAAAGGGGCCACATTCACCCCTGAAATCGGTCCATGAATATTAGTGTTCAACAGGAGGAGTCAGTACCCACACCGATAGCCCTCCTAACCTGGCACCACTTTACCTAGCATGTATCCACCTAAGAGCTTAGTGTGGTCCACTGTAGCTGGTACGGAGAATAGGCACAGATGGGATGGAAGACAATCTGCTAGAAAGGGCTTTGAAAAGTGCTGAACCATAGGGCTTCCTTCTGGGTCTGAGAGTCATTCTAGGTGGTTAATGCAGACTCTGGTCGTGATGTTTAGAGAATGTTTACACATCTTGGAATATTGGACAGCAAAGTAATGGTATGAAATCTGGGCATTCAGGCTATCTAACATAGGTCATGGTTCTTCAGTAAGAACGAGTTCTAGGGGATTTGTAAGCAGAATTGTGTTAGTCTAAAAAAATATCAGTCTCCTAAAGGGACAGGCAGGATATTAGTATCCATAATCTTCGTAAGGCTGTGGATGATTAGATGGAGTCCAGAATAGTTTTCTACCCTGGTTA